GTTGCATGTGTGTTAAAGCTAATTCCAATAGCTCCCTAATATTGGGAGGATATGTTATGAAGAGAATCACCACGTGAATTCCCTCGATTTAAAAGGACCGAAGATCCATGCAATTTATTTAGTGAGTTTTAAAACGGGTTGCATGATGACAATGCACATGATGCAATGATGAATGCAAAGAACCAAACAAATCACATGACGAAACCTGGAAACCCTGGAAGGCAACTGAAGCTCCGGTCTTGAGGCATTACAAGCTTCTACTTCAAGCGCCAATACAATGGAATCGAACCCTAGTCTTAGCCTACATTAGATTGGATCTAAGACATCCCATCTAGACCAACCACCTTAAACCCAGCGACTCCACCTCAAAGTCGTTGGACCAATATATTGTACTTGCTGATATATTACCGATATAATTTCAAACAAGCAGGATTAGGGTTCTTAATTGCATTGCAAGGACCCAAACCTGGGTTAAACGGCAACCTCTTTGTCCATTTGATAACTTGAGATCATGTCCCACTGTCATACAAATCGAATTGATGTACATTATTGCACAGTTGTTCGGGTACTTTGCGAAACACCATCGACTAAGGGGACCTTGCTTTCATGCTTCCTTGTATGTTGAAATGTGGTCGTTTTTGTTGTGCCGATTGAGCAATACATTGATAACCATGCAACTTTATTGAGAAGCTTCGGTGTGGCCACGAGCCCTGAGACCACTTTGCACAAAAGTTTAGTTGTGTTTATTCGATGTGTGGACATTGATCTTCCTATGATCATGGAGTTGTTACCAGCTATAACTACAACCTTTCCGATGCGATACCCGGGGCTACTGCTTATGATTTACAGGTTGCATGGAGTGTACTTTCATTTCGTCATTGAAAAAATTGCGAAGAAGTTTATTGGGTGGTTGATGAAGTATTTTATACTTCCTCCGTCCCATAATATAAGAGTGTTTTTGACACTACATTAGTGTAAAAAACACTCTTATATTATGAAACGGAGGGAGTAGTTATCAGGTGTTGCACTCTTGTGGAATCCATCCTCATTGGGCGATATTTTACCACCTAACTATGCTCGTCCTTCCTAAGAGCATCTCCAGCCGCGTCCCCAACAGGTCCTCCTCAGGCGTTTTTGCCGCGCCGGCGCCAAAAAAACGGCCCAGTCGCGTCCCCAGAAACCCGTTTTTCGCCGGCTCGGGCCAAAACTGGTGCCGCGGACCCAGGCCGAACCCGGCGCCCTGGGGCGCTTGGGGAGCCGGCACAAGCGAAAAAGGCGCGTGGGTCCGCCCTGGCGGCGACCCGAGGGCCTTTTCCCGCCGTTTCTTGACGTTTTTCCCTCGTATCCCTCCCGCTCGCTCGCCTTCCTCCCGCCATTCCCTCCCTTTCTCCCGCCAAACCCCCTCCCGCTCGCCTTCCAGTCGCCGCCATGCCGCCGAAGAAGTACGCCATGTCGCGCGCGGCGGCAACCATGACTGGCACCGTGGCCCAGCCGAAGCAGAGGAAGCCGAGGGCGCCGCCATTGAAGCCACCGGGCATGTCGAACGCCGAGTGGAGGGTGGAAGTTCAGCGACGCGACGCAGTCACCGCCGACCGGCGGAACAGGGCCATCGCCAAGAAGGCCCGCGACAACGCGGCGCGCGCGGCTCATCGGTCGACCATGCGGGGATGATGAATCCACCCGTCGTCAGCCACGCCCAGTACGCGCCCTGGGGACAGCAAGGCGTGGGATCTCCATGGGGATCGTCGTCGCCCGGCTACACCGATGGTGACGCGCACGGTGGGTTCAATCCAAACATGACCTTCCTCCATGGCCACCCCGCGACGCGCACACCCTCGCCCGCCTTCGTCGGCCTGCAGTACCCTCCGTACAACTACTCGCCGCCCGCCTACGCGTCCACACCGATGCCCCACCTCCGCTGTGGACCGCTGCCCTTCTCGCACCTCGGGGACACCGACGACACAGGAGCCGACATGGACGACATCATCGCGACAGGATCGACCGCGGCCGCCGCGTCTCCCGGGTTCGCCACCCAGGACGAGGTAGTGGATCTCAGCGGCGACATGAAGGCCGAGCTCGGCTACGTCTACGGCGAGGACGCGCACGAAGCGCAGGAACCCGAGGAGGAGGAGGAGGACGAGGAGGAGGAGGAGAAGGAGGAGCCGGCTCCTGATCCGACGAAGGGGCGCCAGAAGAAGAAGCAGGCGGCTAGGCCAGGCGAACCGCGCATCAAGTGGACGTCGAAGGAGGAGGAATGCCTCGCCGAAGCATGGAAAGTTGTCTACCTCGACCCGACCACCGGCACGAACCAGAGCTTCGAGACGTATTGGGACCGCATCAAGGCCGAGTTCGACGAGCGGAAGCTCGTCGACCCCTACTTCAAAGGCGTCTACATGCAACGCGGCTCCAAGGCGATGGCAAACCATTGGGGGCGTATCCAGGGGGCGTGCAACAAATGACATGGAATCGTGGAGGAGGTCGCGGCTCGCCCGGAGAGCGGTGCCAGCGTTGAGGATCAGGTACGCACACCGTTCGCCCGCATCTCTTCGTCGTCTACGCCCGCCGCCCGCCAACTGTTTGTTCCTCCGCGCAGTTGCTGCGCATGTTCACCATGTATCGGCGCGACAACCTCGACGCTGACTTCAAGTACCTCCACGTCTACAAGCGCATTGACAAGTGCGAGAAGTGGGCGGAAGTCCGACGTACCCTCGACAAGGCCAAGGAGACATACAAGCCGGACGCGACGACTACGGGCGCGTCAGAGGGGCGGCCGGACGGTCACAAATTGGCAAAGAAGGGGAAAAACGCCGACGCGGCAACCGCGCGAGTGCAGGAGTCCATCGAGCATTGCCTCGCCGATGCCCAGGCCCGGGCCGTCCTACGTGAAGAGAAGACCGAGGCGCGGTGGTCATCGCTGATGACGAACAACGCCATCAAGCTCGACCTGCTCCGGACCAACGTCGCCGCGAAGAAGAGGAACACCCACATGGCTTTTCTGATGGGCGGGGCGGACATGCTCCAGAGCAACGACGAGCAGCTCAGGGCGTGGTACATGGCGGAGCGCGGCCTCATCCTGAACCAGATGCAGACGGCAACGCCGACGACGCCGACGACGCTAGCTCCCGCGCCCATGGCCACACGGATGCCAAGCCCGAACGACGCCTCTACATCGCCGCCCAGCAGTACCGAGGCCGCGCCGACACAGCCCAGCACCGAAGCAGCTCCGACACCGCCGAGCCCGCGCACGCCGACTCCGCCAACGCCTGGAGCCGACCCCGCCGAGTGATTCGTTGCGCACGCGAACTTGCGGCGTGCAGCGCTCTGTTTTTTGTAACGCCAGACTACGTCCGATCGCCGGATTTATGGCGTCTTTTATGAGCGGAAACGACCTAGTTCAAATTTCCCGCATCCTGAGGCCGGCGCTTGGGGGCGTGACTGGGAGCTAGGTCGCCCCCAAGGGCCGAACTAGCGCCGGCACGCTCCCAGGCCGCTCTATTTAGGCGCCCTGGGGGGCCGAACGGCTGGAGATGCCCTAAGGGAACGACCAAAGCCATCACCAATCTTCTAAGGCCTTTTCTATGGCTGGTTCATACAAGGATTCGAGAGGGCAATGCAAAGTCAAATGGATCTTGTTTGCCACCCAACAAACTTGGGGGAGTTGGGGATCCTTGGCATTAAAAAAATTGTGAGGGCCCTCCATCTTAGGTGGTTGTGGCTTGAACAGACAAAACCGACCAAGGTGTGGGTTGGCATGGGAACCCTGTGTGATATGGTCGACATGGATCATTTCTACAAGTGCACTACCATCACAATTAGAGACGGGAAGTTGACAAAATTTTGACATGTGCCATGACTTAATGGGGAAGCCTAAAAAGATAGCTCCCTCAATTTTTAATTAGTCCAAGCTTAAGAACAAAACATCATTGAGGCTCTTATGGGAGATGAATGGATCAACAAGATTGACATATCAGCAAGATTGGATGTGAAGCACATCATGGAGTTTTTCTCCCTTTGGGATCTTCTTAATGAGGTACACCTAAATAATGAAGTCCCGGTCTCCCGGATGCCATACTTTGGAAGCTCATTGCCTCGGGCTCCTGCTCATCGAAATCTGTGTACAAGGCCCAGTTTGAGGGGCTCACTCCGACAGTCATGAAATCAGCAGTTTGGAACAATTGTTCGTCCCCAAAAGTCAAGTTCTTCGTGTGGCTAATCTTTCAAAATAAAAGTTGTATAGCTAACCGCCTTCATAGCCAGAGTTTGCCAAACTGTGGGCTATTGAAGTTGTGCAATAGGGTGTCGGAGCCTGCTGCACACCTCATGTTTTGTTGCCGGTTCTCAATCTGTATTTGGTGTGATATTGGCTTCGCCTTGAGTACGCATCTTTGGAGGATTGGGCCAACTTGCAAACTTCTAGCTAAAGGTGATCGTCCGTCACACACCATGGCCATCGGATAAAAGCGTTGATGTCGTTGCAAATGCTCATCTCCTGGCAAATCTGGAACGAGAGTAACGCATGGATTTTTTATTTTATTTTTTTGCAATGTCTACTCTTTGCACTCAACTATTCTTGCCACGGTAAATAACGAGGCTTCATGTGGAGCATTGCCGTGCAAAGTATTCGAGATCAATCATGTTCCAAAAGTTTTTGCCTCTGTTTAAATAAAACGATGTGTGAGAGCACACATGTTTATGGAGTTTTGGGGATTTTCAAAGCTTATACCACATGCACCGCATGAAAATGGAATTTCAAGCACCGAAATTCAAGCAACGATCATAGTAAACCTTAGAAGCAACGAGTTGGCACCACCTCATCACCTCATAAAAAGGCTACCCAAGCTCTCAAAGAAAACTTACAAGGAACGGAACACCCATCCTGGACGCCTCTCCTTGCATGGCATGCACTCCAAGCAACACCAAAATTGTACTCATCATAGGGCCACCAAATAATCCAAACTTGGGACACTCCACATTTGTTTGTGCCACTAGTAAGTGCATGCATGGCACTCGTCGTGCTCGTAAGACTAGCTCTGTGGCTTCTGGGCTCCTGCCTGGAGCTTGCCGCCCTAGTGCTCTTCCGGGGCCTCGCCCTCCTCGCCGTCGCCGCCGTCGACCTGGTCAGGCTGCCGGGGCAGGCGGCAGACGCGGCGCTCAACGCGACCAAGGGCGTGCTCGAAGCGGCGGTCGAGTTCGTCTTCGGCCTAGTTTGGGACGTGGCGGTGGCCGTCGTCTCGGCGTTTCTCGAGTCGCTCTGGAGCGCGGTGGCCGGCACGGTGGAGTTCGCCGCGTCTACGGTTGTGGAGCTCATGGAGGCAGCACGGGACGGCAGCGAGGAGGCGGCCAAAGCGCTGACGGAGGCGCTGGAGGGCGCGGCGGATGCGGTGGCCGGCACGCTGGTGAAGCTCGCGGAGAACTACACGGATGCTCTTGTGCACCTCTTGCAAAACCTCGTCTGATGGTACGACATAGTGCATATGCCAGGCCACTCATGTATTGTACATAGATATAGATGTCATTTGCTTTGGCACTCGCCTAATTTTTCAAGGAGTAAGGTGCAAATATTCTTTATTTTTTTCTTTTGGGACGCAATATTCATATTTTCACGTGTGTTTGAGACATTGTGATCGTTTCATAGTTTCCGGGTACTCTGACACGTAATCTGTTGTAGTACGATCTGCAAGTTAGTTCCTTTCCATTTTTCCTGCATTCTTCTAGTAATCTTTGTTTCACTTTTATCTTTTAAAAAATGAAGTAGGTAAATTAAAACTTTTATGTATATTTTCGTGCATTTCTATAAATCTTCACAAATTTTGGAAACGGCTTGCCTATTTAAAAATAATAACCATGCATTTCGGAAAATCTTCATGCAATGTTTTTAAAAATCACTCAATTTGAAAAGTGTTCACGTAATTTGAAGAAAAACGCGCATTTTGAAAAAATAATTCTGCATAACTGTGAAATGTTTGCTTTATTTTAATATGTCCATACAATAAACAAAAGTGTTTGGATATTTTTCAAAAGTATTAAAACATCTTTAAAAATGTTAGTCAAATTTAAAAAGTGTTGAAAAAATCACAAAGGAAAAATAAAAATATTATAGTATAATAAAAATATAATATGAAAAGGGAAAACAAACAAAAAAATAAAACAGAAAAACCAGACAAATAAAAAATAAAAATATAGAAAAACCAGAAACGCACAAAACGGGAAAAGGCCAAGAAATACCTAATCCGTGGGTGGTTATTTTTTAAGCAAATCCGGGGCAGCAAATTGGGCCGGCCATCTAGTCGCACCCTTAAAAGAGCGCGTGGGCTATGTGTCGGCAGAAATATAATAGGAATCGCCTACGGGCGAGCGAATCGGGCGGGCTCATTAGGGTTTGTCATGCGCAAAAACCTAGGTCGCTCGCTGTGCTTCGGTTTTCTTCCCTTTTTCTCGTTTTACTTTTTTCTTCGTTTGTTCACTGATTTTCCTAGGTTTTTCTTTTTTCCATTGTTTTTCTACAACGGTTTTCTTCGATTTTTAATTCCCCGTTATACATTTAGCTTTTCCTTTGTTTTCCTTGATTATTTTGTCAATTTTAATTGGTTTTGTTTTTCAAATACATGTCTAATTTTTCTCATTGCACAATATACATTTTTAGCGCATACGTGAAACATGTTTTTAATGGCATAAATATTTTTTTGAAACTACACGATTATGTTTTTTTTACATTCTATAAACACTTTGAAATTTCCATGGATTTTTTTGGAAACACGTGAATATTTTTTAAAATGTCACCTACAGTTTTTATTGGAAACAAACATTTTTTGAACCTGCGGGATTTTTTTTTTGCATTCTACAAACAGTTTCTTAATATCATGAGCATATTTTTAATTGCTGCAGTTTTTCTTTGAATGTCACATACATTTTTTGAACTGTATGAAACATTTTTTCGCATTACGCAATCATTTTTTTACATTGTATACACTTTTTCTTTAAATGTGACAAAAACATTTTTCGAAACTTGCGGACATTATTTAAAATATAACGTACATTTTTATGATTGCACGAAAGATACTTCTCTTATTAGGACAAATTTTTTTTTGCGAAAGTTATTAGGACAATTTTTCGTACATTGTATAAATTTTTTAAATGTCATGCACACTTTTTCAAACGTGTGGCATTTATAAATCTGACAAAAATTTTCTGTGTACATGATTAACATTTTTCTATACATATTTTAACATTTTAAAATGAATGATTAACATTTTTTTTAATTATTTAAATAATTTTTGTAATGTATATATATATTTTTTGGATAATTTCCAAGGACATTTTTTGTACTGTATATACTTTTGTAGAGAATACTTTCAAATATAAAATAAAATTTAAGGAAAGGAAAAAACAAAAAGGTGAATAAAAACGGAAGAAAGGACGAAAAACAAAAATGATGTCAGATGGCGCACGGTTACTAAGCCGGCCTAATAGGTGCTCTTGGTGGAACTCGCAGTGGGCAGCACATAACCTCACCCTGAAAAGAGATACTCCTACTTTTTTGTGAAGGGCCTTTCTTTTATAGCTCCGGCACTGTTCAGGATACAAACTAGATGGAGGTCATGTAAAAAAAAAGATGGAGGTGCAAAGAAATCAGAATCCTATGTTGCACAGTTGACCTTGTTTTAGCTGATAATCTCATGCCCTGCTATTATTTGCGAGAATATAGGATGACTAATTTCACATAAACTTAGCACGAATGCGGCAATTTAGTACTCCCTCCGTTTCTTTTTAGTCTGCATATAAGATTTGATCAAAATGAAATTTTATAAAGTTTGACCAACTTTGTAGAAAAAAATACCAACGTCTACAATACTAAAGATATATGGTATGAAAATTAATTACATGATGCATCTAACAATATTGATTTCATATTGTGAATCTTGATTTTTTGTTTGACTTTGAACAAACTTATATGCATACTAAAAAGAAACGGAGGGAGTAGCTTAATTTGTTGGTCGCAGTAAATAGATCAGGGTGTCATTATCAGCATAATCAAAATTTCAAAAAATATTAAGCACAGCGGTCAAACTTTGCTCCAAGAGAATTTCCATAAATAATTTTCCAGTTTTAAGTATTTTGAGGTGTCAGATAGAAACTATTTGGATAATGCATGTGGGCATGTTGCATAGTCATGTCCAATACAAAGCCCCACACATATATTTGACCTGTCCCAGCACCCTCTACAGCCCAACAGTGATTGTACTATTGCAGGGTGTACATGTGCATGGTTTACTTTTTATATACTTGACCGAATCTCACCGGCCTTACTAGCAGTACTGTTTGATCCTTTTCATCCTTGATGACAATGTTTCCTGGGTGGTAACTGGCATTTACTCGGCTGCCATAATTTCTAGTTTAGCACCTATTGGTATCTACTAGAAACTAGTCCTTCATGGCTTGTTACTTTTTTTTTTCAAAATCTTAACTCCACAGTTTGTTTTGACAAGTAGGGCATGCCGGTATGGGAAATACCCTTTGGCTCTCGGGTGTATATGCACCTGATATGAAAAAAAAATAGTAAGTCCAGAAGAAAGTTAAAAAACTGAAACTTTTTTTAAAAAAAACTTGACCTTATGTTGTATTCATATAAAAAGTTTCACCAAGAGAAAGCTCCCGTCGAAATCAGGGCAAAACAAACAAAATTCCCTGGACAAAAAGTGTGAATAATAACTTGTTATTGCCAACCTAGAATGCCATCAAAGTAAATCCTTGGTGAATCTATTTATACGAGTACAAGAAGGACAATTTTGTTCCTCAAAAAGTTTCATAATTCTTTGACTTTTCACAATTACTTTTTTTTCATAACAGATATATACACACACGAGAGCCAAAGGGGTGTGTCAGTGCCAGCATGCTGCCGAAGACGAGGAAATAGTACCTACGGTGCACGACGTGCCAACCGCTAAGCCTCGTCACCGGCTTGACAAGTTGCAGGCGCATGACATACGGGTGATTACGGGAGCCGATTTTGGTGTTTTGACCATTTGCGCAAAGTTTAGCCGGATCTGACCCCGGTTTAAAAATGTTTTGTGATTTGACCCTTTTTTCTACCGCCGACGACGCTGGCGGTAGGGTTATACAGGCTACCGCCCAAATTCTAGGCGGTAGCCCACTCATCCACGTCATCCCGAGTAAATGGCAGTCGTCTCCTGCCATCCATCCTACCGTCGTGGACCCTGGCGGTGGTTGTGCAACCCTACCACCGGAGACCCCATCTTCTCCCATGCGCGGCCGCAAGAACAAAGAGGGAGGCGCCTCTCTCATCCCCTCCATTCCCCCCCTCCAATCTTCTTTATTTCTCCACCATTTTCGCGGATCGAGATGATTCCGAAACGAGAAAAGTAAGCTCTCTCAATCCCTTCAATTCGTTTTAGTGAAAAACCTTTTGATTCGATGCATTATTCGACACAAGATGAACCCTATTTCATCAAGTAGATTTTGATTTTTCTTGTTTTAAGTTTGTTTAGTTAGGAGTAATAAGATGTTTGATATGGTTGAATATGATAGAACCCTATTTCATCTAGTAGATGAACCCTAGTCATGTTCATATTTTTTTTGAATTGTTCATTGATGTTTGATGTGGTTGAATATGATTGAATTTGATAGTGTTGGGGAATGTTGCATTGAAAACAAAAAAATTCTACGCACACGTAAGATCTATCCATGAAGATGCATACCTATGAGAGGGGGAGAGCATCTACATACCCATGTAGATCGCTGAATGGAAGCGTTTATCAACACGGTTGATGTAGTCGTACACCTTCGTGATCCGTTCCGATCAAGCACCGAATGTACAACACGTCCGAGTTCAGCACACGTTCACCTCGATGACATCCTCGTCTTCATGATCCAGCAAGAGGGGCGAAGTAGTAGATGAGTTCCGGCAGCACGATGGCGTGGTGACAGTGGTGGTGAAACGGTTTCCGCAGGGCTTCGCCAAGCACAACAGATTTAGAGTGGAGGAGGAACTAGAGGGAGAGGGGGCGCGGCCACATGGCCTGGGGATTCGTGGTGTATGGCGCCCCTCCCCTCCTCTCATATATATAGGTGGAGGGGGAGGGGAGGCAGTCTAGGGCGCGCCCCAAGGGGACCGACGGCTGCCCTTGGGCGCCTGCCAAGGTGAGCCCCCTTCCTTACTTGGCACGCGGGGGAAGGAAAGGGGGCCGACGGCCCCTAGAGCGCCTCTCCTTTCTTCTTCCTTGTGAGAAGAAAGACGGGAGGGGGCTAGCCCCTCCCCTTTCCTTTCCTAGGGCCAACGACCAGGAGGTGGGCGCACCAGCCCCCTTGTGGGCTGGTGTGCTCCCTCCTTTTGGCCCGTTAGGCCCGACAACCCCCGTGACCTTCTGGAACCCCTTCCGTTGATCTGATAATTATCCTGTGTATTTCGAAACTCTTTCGAAGACCGAATACTATCATC